CCGCCGAGCAGGGAGCCCGATGCGGGACTCGATCCCGGGACTCCAGGATCGTGACCTGAGCCGAAGGCAGTCGCTTAACCAACTGAGCCACCCAGACGCCCCACGAACAGTTTTTAAAATGAGTCTAGGTGTGGGACTTTCGGGAGAGCCCATCTGAGCCTGGTCTCAGGTGGCCTGAGCGGAGCGTGGACGTGGCCCCGTCCCCGCCGCCACAGCCACGTGGGGGCAGGGCAGGAAAGCACATCACCGGGGGCTGCTGCCCGAGCACAGGACACACCACGACTCTTTCAGCTCGATTTATTTTCACAAGACAGACAAATGAGAACCTGGAATAGCTCTTGGTTCTAACAAGAGTTCTTTTCTTTATAAAGAAGAAAAATTGTTCCTCGATTTTCTCCACAGAACGATTTTGTTGTTACAAAAAAATAATTTTTGATATATACATGCCTACTTTGGAAAACCTTTTTGTCCTTGATGGCTTTTAAGACCCACGTTTAGGCAGAGGGCACTGAGCACTTTGTGCCCCAGCTGATTCTCTCCTGTGCCCTCACCAGATGCTCACTCTCCTTTCCGATTTCCCTTCCTGAAGCATCTTACATGAAATGGAGAAGCGTGGGAAGCGCACCCAGCAGGACGGCCCCAGCTAGAGCGGCCCCCGCGGGGGCGGTCGGTGTGGGTGGCGGCCCGGGCGTCCACCGCCTCCCCAGGGGACCCGCGCACGCCGGAGACAACGTTTACGGATGTCTCCTCGCTCTCTGCGACAGCAGCAATGTTAAGAGGCGCACGTGGCGCCCGCAGCATTTTATCTAGAAAGTACCACCGCTCGGCGGGCTTGCACGCACCCACGTGCAGAGTGATCTCCACAGAGCGTGGCAAACATGGCCGGCTGTTTGGGACGCAGGCTGGTAAAATCTCAGGTAGCTCGCCCATCCCCACCCCGTCCCCACAGGCCCCACTGGCCAAAAATACCGCTATCCTCGACTACATAAAGCTTGGGAGTAGCAAAACTTGTAAAAATGAAGTGTACAAAAGGAAACATCCATATAGTACATTTGCACCCTGTATAGAATTCATCACTTAGAAACTGGCCAACAGTCAGGTAGGACCGATCATCAGTAATAGAAAAAGAACCCCGACGTCCGTCGCACGCACCGAGTCGGGGGTTTGCGTGGTTTTCCAGAGAGAGATGCTCATTTACAGTTACAGTACTTGCGGACGGTCTTTATGGTTAAGAAGCCAGTGGAATTTCCCGGCATTTAGGCGAGTCACATTTGATTGTCACAACGTACAAATCTTACAGGTCTGAGACAATAAATACAAGCAGATCGGATGCATTTCTTCATGGCATCAAGTAGCTCAGGTTTAATTTAACACGGCTTAGTGCATTTCAGGGCCTCATTCACAGTTCGACGTCTGTCCCATCACTTTTGCAACAGAAAGTTAAGAAACGGAAGAGTTTATGAGAAAAGAAAAGTCCAGGTGAACGTGTCATTACAGAGCATAAAAATGTTAAGCAATTCAATTGTCTTTGAAAAGAATATTCAGCTGCTGACAGGGCTGACTGGTGTCCACTTCTCTGGCCATCTCCTCAGTCCCCTAACAGTGCTCTTGTCCTTTATGTCCCCGAGCAGCTTATGGGAATGACACCGTCACGGAATTGGACCGCGGCAAATGCTCGTGGTAAAACTGAGCTCACGTGTGTCCACCCCTCAGCCAAGCAGAACACGGTGTGACGTCTTCTGCCCCCGACCCGTCCCTGTGCTGGGGTGTGCCAGCCCTGACAGACGAGGACGTGGACCCCGAACGTCCGCGTGCGCCCCGGCTGCCCCACGGCGCAGGCACTCACCGAGGCTCGCTTTCCTGCAGGAGCTCACTCGCTAGAGAAAGGGGCAGGCACCGGGGCCACGGACGTACTGTGTCCAGAGAGGAAGCAGGTGGGCACGCCAGGCCCACCGTTGTCACCCTAAGCCTCGTTACACTGCGGAAGGGTTAGAAGCCACGTGACACCATGGGACGCTGAGCGCTGCGTGCTGGGGAGAGCATGCTGGTGTCGGGGAGAACTTGGAAGCATGAGCTTATGCACAAGGTTGAACGGTTGGGCTGAAAATCAGCGGGCTGGAAAGATTGTGCGGCTTGTCCTCTAAGCGTCTCAGCAGAGACAAAGCAACATGCAGAGAGTGACTTATTCTTCACCCCAAATCTAACCGCCAGCGGTGGCCACGGGGACACGGACAGCCTGGAGACCGCTCTCGAATTGCATACTCCACTCTTTGCTCAGCTCAACCTAATGCTCAGTAACTAAACGAGTGGAAGGAAAGGTTCTCATGCCTTGGGGCACAGAGGGGGGTCAGAGGGACAGACAGGTGGAGATTCAAGATGGGTCAGTACCCATACGTCATTGTTTACAACTAAGTGCTGCTTACATGGTTGTTTTATGTTGCTATTTAGTGGTTTGTATATTCAGAACTCATCTCTTCAACTAGACTCTGTGCTTCTTGAGGACAGGGACTGCAGGGACACCTCAGGGAGGGCCATGCTGCCACCAAGCACTGGATGGCCAGGGTCACTTCTTCCTTTGTATTAATCGCAAATGGGGACACGCTTTCTTTCTGACCAGCTAAGCCCTTCCCCAGCGCCTCCTGGCCCCATGCAGTGGGGACGGTCACTTACACTGCTATCAGAGTCCCCAGGTGCTGGTAGCCGCCATGGCACCTTAGGAGCCCCTGGAACTCCCCAGAGGGGGGTAAACAAGCTGGGGTCCTCTCCTCAGCTGGACACATGGGTAGTGACCACGACCCGAACTGCACTCACTGGGCAGGGCCCAGGTGCACGCGTGGAAGGTGCCCGAGAGCCGGGCGTGGGTCTGAGCCGAGGGAGGAGCCACCAGCGGCCCCCAGGCTCCGAGCTCAGCCTGTAGGGTGCCCGCGGGGGATGCCCAGGGCCCGGCGCCTGAGTGCACCCCAACCGCGGCCAGCCCACACGGTCCAAGCATTCGGCCTTAATTTGGACATGACGTCAGCAACAGAGGAAACTCAGTTGTAGGGCGTAAAGGGAAAAGAAAAGCACTATTCTGATTTATTTTAAAAATTAAAGGAGTTCCCGTTCCTTCTCCTTCTGAAGTGGATGAAAAGCAACTCCATCCCCCTCCAAAAACAAACAAAAAACCCCAAACATTCATGGTATAGATTTTATTGCTCTCAAGGTCTTGGCATCAAGTGCACAAGCTCATCTGTTAGATTGGAAGGGAATCACTGAGATTTAAAACCTGCGCTGGCCTGGGTCTCCATGCGAACGGGAGTCCGCGCGGCTCGCTCAGCGACTCCGGGCAGACTCCCCCGGCGCACAGGGGTTCCCAGGGGAGAGAACTTCTCCGGGCAACGAGAGCTAGGGTTAACAGGTGGAAGATCTAAACTGCGTCTTGTAGGTGATGCGTCTGCACGGCTGTTCCAAAACGTCCCAGGTGCTAGTGAGTTAGTGACATACACAGACGGGGACAGGGAAGCAGCTCGCCAGGTGAAGGGAAAGAACCTAAGGCAGTCCCTCCCTGCAGTGCGGGGTCTGAGCGGCGAGGGAGGGGGGTGGTGCTGCCTCAGCCCTGCAGCCTCCGGGGGCTGTGCTCGGTCTCGCCCTGCCCCACGGCGACCACACAGAATCCAGCACTGTCCTCCTAAAGAGCGTGTGCGGTCTCGAGAAGTCCTCCCAAAACACAGACCTAAGGGCTGATGCATAGTTATTTGTCCAGTTTAGTTTCTATTGTTCCCATCCCTCTTTCCTCCACCTCCTCTCCTAGAAAACGCAGCGGGCCTCTCTTCGGAATGCTGGTTACAGGGCACCAGACTAACACCGCTAGTTTTCCTTCCCTGGCTGAACAGGGCGAGGGGAGTGTGACTTGGAAACAGCACGCCTGAAGTTTAGGAAGGAAGTCCAACGCAGGCGGGGCGTGCAGCGGGATGCTTGAGCTGGGGCCCAGGAGGCGGGTGCCGGGGGCCCCCCGTGCACCTCCCTCCACCAGCCCAGCGGCCCCAGCCCCACGCCTCCATCTGCAGAACACGCAGCTCCCCTGGGCTGCGGGCCCAAGTCAGGTCACGGGGAGACACCCCATGGCGGGGGAGCAGGGGGGAGCAGTGCCCCCAAGCCCCCGGGGTGACACGTGCCACACAGGGGCAGGCCACCCCCGGGGCCCCGGCACCTGCTTGGGAAAGGGAGGCTGGCAGAGTTGGGGGAGGCTCACCACCTCTACTTTGCATCAGGGAGCGGAGAGCCATCAATAGACCAACTGTAAAAGTAAAACCTCTAGAAGCCAACGAGCTCCAAGTGAACAGTCTCCAACCACCTCCAGAAGCAAGGTTTGATGGTGACATACTTCTAAACGAGCATCCAAGAGCCCTGTGGGCTGCAGGGCAGCCCTCTCCCGGCACCGGGGACAGGGGTGTAGCCCCGTGGAGGCCGCAGGGAGAAAGAGGGACAGGGGGCTTCAGGTACCGGGGGAAGGGGCCCCTTCACTATAAAAACAGATGTAAGGTACTTACACACGGGGCTGGGGGGAAACGGGCAAGCCGTGGTCTGACAGTGAAATGGGGCTACCCGTCCATCCGACATTCGGCGTGTGCTTGTCCCCCCGAGAATGCTCTGCGCGCCCACCCCACCGGCCGGAGCGAAGGGGCGGTGCTGGGCAGGACAGGTGGGCACTTTGGGGGCCTGGGACCTGCAAATCCTCCATCCTGGGAGAGCAGGGGAAGGTTTGCTGGGGTGGGGGGAGGAGGCGAAGGGCCAGGGTGAGTTCCCGAAATAACCGATAAAAACAAAAATGGGATCTAAGTTTAAGAAGAGAAAGCATCCACAGGCTCCCTCTGGCAGGCAGAGTCCTCTCGAGATGACATCGGGGCGGGACTGGTGATCCCAGGAGTGGCCGCCCCCCGCCCCCGCACACACGTGCCCCCGCGCCCAGCTCCGTGGTGGACTCTCACCCCCTGTGCAGGGGCGTAGCCAGAGTCTTTGTCTGCGGGCCTCCGACGGCTTCACTCTTGGCTCAAGGTTTACTGGTCAATATTAGTCACCAGTTAATACGAAAAATAGTTTCTAAGGGTCTTTTGTTCCGATCTGTGTGTGTTGTTCTGTTTTTAATTGAGTTAATTGGATACCACCGTCAGGTTATGTATGTGCAATCACAGCCAGTAATTATTCCTTTTTCTTAAATTCTTGGTTTCCGTAGCTAGAGCCTTTTTCTATTTCAGTTACTCCTATTAGTCGGCGGACTCCAAAGGAAGCTTTAAAATAGGAAAAAGGCAAGGTTAGACAGGTCGCTTAGCCATCCAATTGGAAAAACTGATATTGGGGGTTCCCGACTTTTGCCTCTGACCTCCCCGCCCCGTGGGGACTGCAGGCCAGCCCTCTCCCCGCTTCCTCCCCCTTCCCACCGCAGGGGCCAGCCTGTCTGGGGGGCTCCGGGGGTGGGAGCAGGAGGTGGCCATGGGCCTGGTGGGGCTGCCACGCCCTGCAAGATGCCTGGCACAGACTGGGTGCCTGTCCATCTGCGAAGGTTCCGGGGGAGTCCCGAGAGCCCAGGACTGTGCAGGGCTGTCGAGTAATGCCCATGTCCTCAGAGACCCTCAGACGGTCACCACGCAGACACGGGGCCCGCCCAGCTGCAGCATACGATGCTGATGCCCTGAGAGCCGGTGGCCGGTCGGTTTGTAGGGAGACGGCCCCGGGACATGGCTGTGGTCCACACGACCCTATGGCTTAGTGGACAGAGGCCGGAAAGACTCCAGGCGGAGCCTGCTCCCTACGGGCCGGCCACCTCGACGGCCCCCGGGCTCGGGCGCCGTGGCTGGAGCACGGAAGGCCCCCAGCTCGAGCTGTGTTACTCGCATTTGTTACCTGCCCCGACGAACCCCAGGAATGTCAGGATCAGGAGGGGCGAGCCACTTGCAAAGACACCCAAGACGCAACTGAAGAGAGGAGACAGGAGGACCGTGGCCCAGGAGAGGAAGTTCAGGAGCGTCCACGGCCGGCGGGGGGGTTTGAACTGCTGCCCCGGAAACACGCCCTTCTGGTTGTACGTCTCCTGCAAGGCGTCCTGAAAGAGGGAGAACACGCGGCTTTAGATGCTCTCCTACCACGAGGGCTGAGGGCTGACGATAGAAATGACTCCGCCATCCACGTTCCCATCAATAAAGCAACTACTGTGTGTGTGACGGGTCGGGGACGGCAGGACCCTTGTGGAAGCTCGAAGAAAGCCGGGCTCATGCAGGCGCCTCCGGCCCCTGGTCGCCTCCGGCTACCTCCTGAGGGTGGGCTGGTGGGGCAGCGGCCTTGACTGGCTGGGGGCCCAGAGGCCCGGGTGCCAGTCCCGCCATCGTCTGCACCTACTGCATTGCCCATGAAAAGCGACCTCGGCTCCCCTTCCTCTGTCTCCGGAGGCTAAGGAGCAGGTGAGCGCAGGGAGACGAGCTGCCAGAGCATTTCGCTGCTGGAGGAGGTGCACAGGCATGCACGCCCCCCTCGGCACACCTCTCTGCAGCCACGGCAGCCGTGCCTGGGCCGGGCCGCCTCCTGTCACCGCATCCCCTCCTGTGGGCACCCCTTGCTTCCCGGGGGCCTCTCCGGGAGCCCCTCACCCCAGCCCACTGCCTTGACATGCCGCTGGCTTGGCCCCACGTCTACACCTGGGAGTGGTGGCAGGATCCTGCTCGCAGGTGTTGGGAGGGTTGGGGAGGTGAGCTCAGCTCGCCCACCGTCCTGGGGACCCACCACATGCATTCGGGGTCCGCGGCTTCTTCCAGACGGCAGCTCCATACCTTTCTGAACGGGGACCCAGTCCAGGAGGCGTAGCTGGTACGCACACATGCATGTGGTGCGTGTCTGCCACGCGTGTCGGGGAAGCAGTGCTCACCCGCGGCCCCCGGGGACACTCGGACTCGTTCCCGGAGAGGAAATGCTGGGCCCGGCCGGCGGAGGCCATCCCGTGGGGCTGGCTCTCAGAGCTCATGTCCTCGCCTCCTCCCGACTCCGCGCCTGACCCACCTCCTTCTTCCCCTCGCCAGCCTCTGCTGGAACTGCAGAGAGGGCCTCACCACCACCGCCTGCAGACCCCCCAACCGCATCCACCTGTGTCCCCTCCCGGAAGCCTGGCAGGCACTCGGTCACCGTGGCCCAGACACGAGTGGCCAGGAAGGAAGAGCACTGGACTCAGGACTCTGTCCCATTTCCCTCACCGCCCCACTGCCCGCCGTTCCGATCATGCAGCAAGTGTGCGGCAGGAGTGAGGGCAAGAGACCGGAGGCCCGGGACGCCCCCCCCTGCCAGCACCCGCCAGTCAGCTCCCACATCTGCGGAACGGGAAAACCGCATGGCACGAACTCTGTGGTCCGGCTCCAGGTTACGACTGGAGCTAACTGGTAAATAACCAAAGGCGGGAGCCATCAATGCCTCTCGGAAGCTGTCTGTTGCATCAGGATCAAAGCGCCGAGGCTGGTCACTGCAGGGTCTGCATCTTGCCTGGCAGGGGCCATCCGGACCCTCTACTCACAAGGGGCATCTCACGCTCAGCTGCGGGACGCAAACTGGGCGGTCTCTTTGAAGCACAGCTCAGAACAATTCCGCGAAGTGCAGAGAGGCTATGCCCACAGGTTACAGTGTGAGTGTGTCTCGGAGACACGCTCTGCAAAGGGGGACACAGCCTAACTGTTCACAGACAGGAAGATGAAGGACTAGCACGGCTGTCTCCCTGTCTCCCTGTGGGGGAGGAGTGAGGCAGGGGCGCCTGGCTGGCTCAGCCGGCAAAGCGTGTGGTCAGGGTCTTGAGCGCGAGCCCCATGCTGGGGGTAGAGTTTACTTAAATTAAAAACAGGGGGGCGCCTGGGTGGCTCAGTTG